GTGTGTGTGTGTGTGTGTGTGTGTGTGTGTGTGTGTGTGTGTGTGTGTGTGTGTGTGTGTGTGTGTGTGTACGCTCGGGACAGGTGGTGGTGAGCAAAGTAGGCTCTTACTGCTCCCACGTCATCCCGCACACAACTGGAAAGAGCCTCCATTTTGAGGGAACTGGACCGTTGCAGAGGGGACACTGGAGTGATGGCCTAACTGCTATTCCATCAACTCAGAAGCCTGTGCTGGCTCCCTCTTACTTCTCATATCAAATTTCAATTCTGTAGTTATTTTTAGAAACAAGGAAACTTAGGCCCAAGAAGGTATGGTAGCTAGCTCAGGGTCACACCACTGGGAAGACAGGGCTGAAATCTGCCTGGACAGCAAACCAGCGCTTCTGACATGGTCATGACAGCAGGGCAGTAATGCAGTCCTCCAGCCCCTGACCCTGATCAGACTGAACGGGTGCACGTACCAACAGAGCTAGAAGGCCAAGCCTAGGCAACCCACCAGGTGTGTGATCGGGCACGGCAGTGTCTAGAGTGGAATGTCACCCACAAGATGGCCAAATTCTTCTAACTTCAACTCTAGGGATGGCTGCCAAAGACTATCATCAACCAGGTCCTCTCGCAGACCCAGGTGGATTTTGCCAACCACCTGCGCAAGCGCCTGGAGTCCCGACCTGCTCTGGAAGCCAGGTGTTGAAGACCAGCCTGCTGCTGCCAACGGCTCCCAGCTGAGCGCGCTTGCAGGCTCACGAGGAGGTCTCTGCTGGAAACCTACAAGTCTTAAAGATCTTCATTCAGGGACAGTGGGATGGGATGGTGGTGCGTGTCCAGTATGATACCAGAACTCAGATGGGTAACATTTTAGTACCAAGAAAGTGGGGACAAGGCTCTTTTAACTTCATTCACTGATTAGCTGTAAAATGAAGCATAGGGCTCCCAAAATATTTGTAAAACTTTTTTTTCTGGGTCCTTACTTGTCTACCTAGAAACATCTTTAAAATGCTACCAGTTAACAAATGCAGGGTGCAGAGGGTGCAAAATACAAGGATTAGGACCGCATGCTTGATGAGCTCAAGAGCTCCATTCCCTGTGGGCAATGTGTGCAGACAGAGCAGGTCTTACACAGAGCCTCCTGAAACCCTCTGCTCCTCCACCAAGACGGTAGAGAACTGCACCAAAGAACAAGCAACTCCCACAGCAGATACCGTCCAGAACTCTAGTTCAAGTTATCTTAATGAAAAAATACAAAACTAATTATCAGACTGATTCCCCTACTTCTTCCATGAGCCGTAGTCAGAATAAAGAATCATAACCAACACAGAAACTTTAGTCTGTACCTGTTTTAAAATTCTCTTAAAATCCATGCTAGTAAACTGCAACTTCATACTAAAGGAGTCATGGATGAAGACTTTAATTAGTTAAACTAAGTCCCCTACCTCACTCAAAGCAAAAACTCCAGGGGACTTAGGTCATTCAATTATGTAGGATCTGTTACCGGAATCTTTCATAAAAAATTAATTTACACGATAAGCACAAGACTAAATCAGTTCTTAAAAGAACTCTATAGCTGGTAGCTGATTAATGGACATTAGAAGATGAAGATTATGACTGAAGATTTTTATTTACCTAATTAAAAGGATAGAACCAAAGGCAAGTGACAGAATGGTATTACTAAAATAAAATCAAACAAAAGCAAATTTTATTACTTTCCCATTAGTGATTGTTTAGACCTAAAAAGGGAGCTGAATCTTTAGTTTGGAGTCTATTACATTTCCTCTTAGCTTGACTTGGGGCTGCCAATTTCTCTGCTTTAACAGGTCAATGTTTTACTGTTTTGGAGGAGATGGCTGGAAGAAGGGGTGATAGGGTGACAGCAAAATCCCTTTCCAAGATTCAGAGAATTGGTGCTTAAAAAATGTAAGTTGAGATGGGGTTATTTGGCTAAAACGTATAAGTAGGATGAAAACCTAACCATTATCACTTGAAGCTTTTCCATTCCAGTGCTAACAGCATTGATGATTTACACCATTTGGAATTAGAGTTCTAGCTTATTTATTAAACAA